TTGATTCGCGCTGCCCAGCACATTGCACTGCAAGGTTGGTCCCCTTGAAATACGTTGTTTACATGACCACTCAAACGTTGCCCATCATCGATGCCAACTTTTGTGTTTCATTTTTCGTCCATCGCCTCCACTTGCCCACATCCGTCGCCAACCTGAAGACGAACTGGTAAGTAGTGGTGCTAAGGTTTCAAGCTATCGAGTGATGCCCAAACTCCGCTTATTCCAGTACCCATCATTATGTAGCTACTTTCTTTCATGACCCTCATTTTCGGGACTAAAAGTGCTCCAAGGAGTCTTACATCCCATCGCGGGGCTTTTTACCTCAGCATCAACAGCCCCAGTCAGAGCTTCCAAGTACCTTTGCACATGCGTTGAAGGGAAGGCCTGTAGAATGGCCAAGACGAGCGAAGTTACCATGCTCTCCTTCGAGGCTAGGCAGTGAGAGCAGTGGACGCTCACTTGACTTGGTTTGATGAACAACAAAACAAACACATTTGTACCTTCATGCAATTTACTTTTAGACACTGAATGAATTCCGCGACGCAAACGCCAAGGTTTGTTTCGTTCCGATTACTTGTGGCACCTTTTAGCCATATTGGTGGTCGGGGGAAGGAAAGCGAAAATTGATGCCAGAGGTTGGGAAAACTTCAGAAGGGGTGGAGGAAACTCTTCAGTTAATCGTCAAATCATTGAATGCAGACCAAAAAGTGTCATTTCCTGGTTGTGCTTTGACTTATTTTGCGGAACGACAGGACCGCGAACCCGCTCACCTCACTTGCGCACTGGCATTAGCAGTGTCTGCCCTTCCATTTCACCTCACCCTGATGGTCAGATCATTTTGGAAGGTGTAGTGCCATTTATATATTTTACCAGAAGGACTTCGGTGGGATCGACTCAGGGGCGATCCATGATCGCCGTCCAGATGACACAAATGATAGCCAATGCATGTAACGACCCTATTGGGCGATAAGGCTGGATGTAGGCGCTGGGTCTACAGGTTGCAGTGGTCCTCAGACCACGACACAAGGAAAGAGCGCACAGCATGACCATCCGGATGGGGTTCTTTAATTTGCAAACCTGATTACTACTTTTACCATCAGTCATTTCAAAGTGGTTGCACGCGCTACGTGTGTGTGAAGCAGAATGGCAAGTAAAGGCATGGCAATTGGTGTTGGTGACAAGTGGTGCCTG